ACTGGCATCTTCAGAGTGCAGGAGCACAGACAGGAGCCGGTCACAGGTGCTGGCGAAACGTTAGGAAACAAAACTTCCAGAACACGCCCATACAGCCCGGAAGGCCCACACCAGTCATCGATCTGAGAAAGGTTGATTTGTTGCATAAGTCTGTTCCCCTATTCACTTGTGGGGCTAGCTCTATATTTTCAGAGGGACATGCAGAAGCTTCATATGCTTTTATACAAAGTTAGCCAAAAAGTAACAGGAGAGCTGAAGTAAAAAGTAATATGAGAACTACCAGTCTTCCCTACCTCCCCTTACATCTTTGCAAATCCTGTAGCAGTCTTCCCCAATCTATTGCCCTCTAGATGGCTTGCACTACAGCTTTCATCATTCCCCAGCCAACACTGCTTTTGTTCTTTCAAATCCTTCCTCTTATCTCCTGCTCTTTCTTATCTCCTGAAAGAAAGAAAGCAAAGCAAAAGCAAAAAAAAGCAAGGGCGGTTGATTGCATTTTCACTCATTCTGCTTGCCTCTTTACTCCTTCCTTTGTCTCTTACCTTCTCCACTGAAATAGTAAGGAAAATTCATCCTACTCCAGATTTTTTTATTTTTCTCAACCATCATGTACAGTCTACACATCCAACAAGCATGGAGAGGACAGGATTGTAGACTGTTGAGACTATATTGTTAGTAGTGGGAGTAGTAGTAGTAGTTGTTGTTGTACACTTTTAGGCTTTTCAAATCCTTTGCTTTTTAAAAGATGGAAAAAAGATTTTCCAAGGAAAAGAATTAAACTTATTGAGAAGTTTATTCTGATCTTCCTGGTTTTCATCCTCTTTGCTCTCAATCCATTTTTCTTCCATTGCTTGCAATATTTGCTGACCCTAGACAGGTTGGCAAAAAAGATAGATATAAACCAGCCCTAGGGCTGTTTCTCCTCTCTTCCCCCTGGGCAGCTTTTCTATCTTTTTGCTAACATGTTGTATTGCCTTGTGCCATTGACTTCCTGATAGCCCAACTCCTGTTTTATCCTACAGTCCCGTTAGGTCTGAAACACACCATTGCATCTTCACGGCATGCAGCCTTCCTCCTGCTTGTCTATTAACCTACAGCTGTGCCAAAGTTGTGATATAGACACATTCTGTGGCACTTCTATCTCAGCAGGATCAGCATGCAGCACTGGCAGCTGGGTCATTGGGTTCATAGGTAATCTAGGAGTAAGAAATAGACTCAACATTTCTCTTCCCCCAATAAAACCTCCAGGAAAAGATCCACTGAACCAACATACACCTTTGGAAGAAGAATGCAAATCAAGAATGAGCAAGCTGTACTCCCCCCCC